AAAAATATAAACTTGAAAAGGAGCGCAGTTAAAAAAATAAAATAAATAAAATTGCAAAAATAAATAAATTAAAATTAGTTGGTGTCCTAATATACCAATTTGACGAAAAAGAAGAAAAAATGTATTTATTGATGATGATATAAAAAGTATTTTGTGATCTACACGCAAATATTCTGAATAAAAAATAAATATAAGAGAATAAAAATCAGAATTAGTAAAAGTAAAGAAAAATACAAAAAATTCTAAAAAAATTCTGAAACACAAAATTCTGATCAGAAAAAATATAAATAAAATAAAGAAAATACAAATAAATCAGAATTAATTAGAACGGGAAAAATACAAAGGAAAAGACAAAGTTCAGAATTATTAAAACGGAAAAATACAAAAATCAGAATTAAAGAAAATACAAATAAAATACAAAAATCAGAATTAATAAAATAGAAAAATACAAAAAGATAAAGATCAGAATTAATAAAAGTTGCAAAGAAAAACACAAAAATCAGAATTATTAGAACGGAAAATACAAAAGAAATAAAAATCAGAATTATCCAAATAGAAAAAATACAAAAAAAAATCAGAATTAATAAAGAAAATACAAAAATCAGAATTATATTAAAATAGAAAATACAAAAAAAATATAAAAATCAGAATTATTAAATAGAAAAAATACAAGAAAATATAAAAATCAGAATATTAAAATTCTGAAAGTTAAAAACACAGAAAAAATACAAAAAAATACAAAAATCAGAAAATTAAAAAATACTAAAACACAAAAACAAAAGAAAAATCAGAATTAAAAATTAATAAAACAAACAAAAACACTTAATTAAAAACAAAACAAACCCTATTAAATAAAAACAAAAAGTTTAAATAAAATGCCCAGAATTTAATATTTTTGAAGAAAAAATATTAAAAGGTTTCTGCAGGCAGCGCAGTCTTAGTCCACACGTCAAAAAATTGAAGGAATGTACAGCTTCGGGCAATTGTCAGCAAATAATCGATCGGGCAAAGAAATTGGAAGAAGAGACGAGTAATAATAAGTGTGTGAAGCAAATGATGTGAAAAAGGCTAAAAAAATAAAGAAAAGAGCCGTCAAATGTGCGCAAGTTGCGGTGAAATTGTGTTGAGTTGTTTGTTTGTATCGATAGGTTTATAGTGTGTATATTGCTTTCTCTTTTTTTTTAAATTTATTTTTTCGATGGTGATTCACAGTTTGAACCTTATAAAAAATTTCAAAAAAAATTTTCTGAAAATTTCAAAAAAAAATTTTTTTTTCTTTGTGGTTAAGTTGGTAGTGTGTTAGACTTGACTATCTTTTGGGTGTAAGGTTCGAACCCGCTTGCCGTCCACCCTTTTTTAAATTTATTTTTCGATGGTGATTCACAATTTGAACCTACAAAAAAATTTTCAAAAAAAATTTTGGGAAAATTTTCGAAAAATTTCTTTGTGGTTAAGTTGGTAGTGTGTTAGACTTGACTATTTTTTGGGTGTAAGGTTCGAACCCGCTTGCCGCCCATACTATTGGCAATATTTATTTAGCTTCTCTCAGCTATAAAAAATTGTAAAAAAATTTTATTTTTCATTTTAATAATTTTAAATTAAATTTTAAGAGTAAAATTTTTAAATTTAACAAATTTATAAACTCGATGACTCTGATGTTTTTGTTGAAAGGATGAAGGAAGTGCAACCAATTTCTAAACTAGCCAGATGAATAAATTTTACTCAGAATTTCTTTAGGTCGTGATTCCAATCATTTTGAATTTCTTTAAAATATCAGAACAACTCCAGACAAAATCCCACTCGTACAAAAATATTTACCAGACGCCTGTCAAAATGGTAAAAAATCAATTGGGTCAGAAATTGCTATAAATTGGGTCCAAAAAGTGGCAATATTTATTTAGCTAATGCTATGCTGTTTATTTCTACTGATCTTAGCATTGATAAAAAATAACAGTCGTCCAAAAAAATCAGAATCGTTCAAAATCATGTCGAAATGGTAAAAATCGATTGGGTCAGAAATTGCCAAGTTATTCCAGCCTTGCCGTTAATCAACAGCTTTTTAACGTTGAATCTACCGTTGATTAAACAAATAATTAATTTATTCACCAAACTATAAAAACTAACTAGCTTTCACCCCTTCTCTTTACCAACTTTCAATTAAAAAAAGAATTTAAATAAACAAAAAATAATGTGTATAGTTGGCATTTATTCAACTCTAACTCAACTTTTATACAATTTTTTCTCTTTTTCTCTAACCCCACAACTATTTCTTTAATCTGCCCTCCATTAAATTGTTTCACACACACTCCTAGTCAGTTAAAAAATTCAATAGTCTATTTAGAAAAAATTCTAACGCGAATTGACGACTAAAAATTGAGCTGCAATTACAGTAGGAAAATATCGACCGCTGCAAAGAGACTCACACACAAAGGGTAGAGAAGCTGCATCTTTTAATGTCTAGTTCTGCCAAATTCGGATTTCGACCCAGAGCATTAGATGTGACCAGAAGACTTCCTATCCGGATTCGAAAATGTCGAAAAAGAAGCCCCAAGATCAAAAGAACCGTGGCGACGGCTCCGACGGGTATGGAGAAGGAAGAGGAGATGGTTGGTTTTGTTGTTAAATAATGGCTGCCACTGTCTGCTTCTCTAACTTTTCTCATGTTTCCATCACTGTCTCTCTTTAACTGACAGGGCAGCCATTCGCGGGGTGTTTGGGCGTCTTAAAAATTTTAATTTAAATCAAGGATCATTTCAAATCATTTAATCTCTTTGGGAACTCGCACAAGCATTTTTCGATTTCAGAAGACCCTAAAATTCCGTTTTCGCCTTACTTCCTTTGTTTACGCCCCAAAAATCGATAAATGACACTTTGTCCCATTAAAATAAAATTTAAACAGAATGCCAAATTTTTCCAAATTTAATTTTTCTTTTTAAAGGAATCACATTTGCAACAAGCTATCCTCGCACAAAAAGCTACCTCAGCAGGGGATTCAGTCAAAAATCATGTAATCCCTACGCCCAAAGTGTAAGTATGTTTATTCTAGAAGAGAATTAGACCCTATCCCAAAAGAAGGGCGGCGGAATCGTTTATTCACATTACCTGAAAGGAAAGGAAAAATTCAAAGGAAAATGGAAACGAACGGACTCGGACAGACAAAACACAGACGGAGGCTAAACTACAGTTTCCGTACCAGGCTCAGAATTGGACGATTTATATGTCATTCGAAAGAGCTCGTCGAGCTGAGTCGAATGACACCAAAATTTTTCAGCGGAAAAAATTCTGAGCCGAGTTACAGACCCCTAAAGTTCAAAAAACCATAGGGGGGACCAAGCTGTTTTCTGGGGGTGAAAAATTCGAATATGCAAATTATACCTCATTCGAAAGAGCTCATCGAGCTGAGTCGAATGACACCAAAATCAATGCAATCAGACGTCATTTGACAAAGTTATGACCGTTTGTTTTAGTCCCTTACACAAGGGTTTCGCGGAAAAAAGTTTTTGCCGCTGCGGAGGAAGCCGGGCATGTCGAGCGGAACGACGGCCGCCGCTTCGCTACGGTCGCCGCGAGCGCAGCGAGCACGACCGCAGCGAAGCACGGCCATCGTGTAGCGAAGACCATGCCCGGCCTACCCTCCGTAGCAGCACAAAAACAGTTTTTCCAGCGAAGATTCTGTTGGTCATAACTTTCTTCAAAATCATCCAATCGAGCTGATTTTGGTGTCATTCAACTCAGCTCGTCTAGCTCTTTCGAATGAGGTATCATTTGTATAATCGAATTTTTGACCCCAAAAATCAGCTTGGTCCCCCCTATGGTTTTTCGATTTTCGGGGGACTGTAACTCGGCTCAGAATTTTTTCCGCTGAAAAATTTTGGTGTCATTCGACTCAGCTCGACGAGCTCTTTCGAATGACATATAAATCGTCCGATTCTGAGCCTGGTACGGAAACTGTAGTTAGGCCCAGACGGACTCGGACAGACGTCCGTATTTGGTCTGACCCGAGTCTGTCCGTGTTTTATATGTCGAGTCCGTTCGTCTCCATTTTTATTTTCCATTTTTCCTTCCGTTCAGGTAATGAAAAAAAAGATTCCGCCCCTCTTTTGAATAGGGCCGAGAATTAAATTAAATTTAAAAAAATTTTTTCAGCACATCCCTCAGAGATGATGAATACAACAGAATATACCCTCAAGATAGGGGGTTTCCAAAAAACAAAAAATTAATTGTTTTTAATGGTTTCTTTGAATTTTTTTTAAATCTTCAATTTATTTTTAAGATTATGTCCCTTTCTTTCTTGCTCAAAGCAGTTACAATGCCGATTCTGAAGATGAAGAATGGCTCAATTCTAGAAGGAATATTACTATTGATGATTTTGAACATATCATTGAAAAGCTGGAAATATCGTCTCAAAATGATATTATTAGGCCGAGGTAAAATTTAAAATTATTTTAGGGAATTGGGGAAGTTTTTGGGGTATTAGGTGATATATTTTTGGGTATTAGGTGATATATTTTTGGGTATTAGGTGATATATTTTTGGGTATTAGGTATAATATGTTTGTTGGCGACACTAGAGATAAAGATTTTTAAAAGGCCTGCTCCTGGGTTTGATTCATCGACCTGAGCCGGGTCCTTGGTCTGTAGTCCAGGAAAACCAAGGAAGGTAATAATGCCTGGGCCTGGACTCTGGGTACAGGAAAAACCCAGGCCTTGGTCCAGGTCCAGCTCGATCTCTATTGTCGACCGATTTTCTCCCGTGATTGCTGAGATGTGGAATTTTAAGGATTATCCCTTTTCTTAAAAATTTAAAATTGTTTACTTTTTTGGGAGGGACAACCATTTAAGATGAAGATAATTACACCCACATCTTTAAAAAAAATTTTTTTTAAAGGAATGCCAGAGCTTTATTATCACGGTATGATTTTGGATTAGTCGATGATGTATATGATTACTGGTTACAAAAACGACAGGTTTGGAGGAATAAATTAGAATTATTATTTTTTATTTTTTTGGAGATTTTTTTGAATAAAAAACAAAAAGAACCTCTCCTAGGCCTCCCCCTTTTCAGAAAAAATATCGTATACTTTTCATGGAAACGACTAACATTTCTTACAAAATCTAGTCCGGTTCTATTCTAAAATTTTTTTTTCGTGAATTAAGACAAAAAATGTTCCACAGAAAAAATTCCCTGCTCTATATTAGGGATGGGCTGGGTGAGAAACAAGTCGGATTCGGATCGAGTTTTCGAAAATTTTCTTCGAATCGGATTTTTGATTAAAAAAGCTTTGGGTCAAGAAAAGGTCAGGGTCTCGGACAACCCGGCCCTTTCGGATAATCCCCTCAATTCCTCCTCTATATGTCCTAAAATTTATTTTTCTTTCTAGAAAGCAGCATCATCCAAAAAACATCCCTGTCCTCGTCTCTTATCAAAAATATATTCAGAAATCAGCAACAGCAGTCGAAGAGACGATAGCAAATCTATCACAAATCCATATATTGCCTTTCGTAGAAGGCTCGACAAAGTCCAAACACGCAAAAAACAGCGAACAGAATTATCAACTTATGAAAAATTGCTTCAAATAAATTTTGTAATGAAACGTTCAATTGTACTAACTGGGATAATGGCACAAAGAGAAAAATTGAAAAAAGTTTTGTTTGATTCTGAATTTGATTTGTTTAAAATGAAAATTTTGGAATTACAAAGAGAAAAGGGAAGAGACGGGAATGAAGGGAATGAAGAAAAATTGGAAAGAATTCAAGAAGAAATACATGAACAACAACCTTCAACTAGTGGAATAAATGATTCAGAATTTATTTTATTAAAACAACAACAAAGCTCAAGTAGAAGAAATAGTTCAAATTTAGATTTTATTAAGGATGATAAAACCATACAAAGAAATATTGAGGTTATTATTTTTTTATTTTTTGAATTAAAAAAATTTTTTTGATGGTAATATATGTGTTAGTGATGCTCGGGTATCCCGACTTCCGAGGTCATTTCCCGACCTGACTCCCGTTTCCCTGGTTTTTTCTTCTCCCGAGCATCATTAATATGTGTTAGAAAAATGGGGAAATGTTTTTTGAATTGTTAAAAAAAAATTTTTTTAAAGTTTAGGCAGGCTAACATTTTTTAACTTGGGGAAGATACTCAAACACGAAAAAAAAAATTTTTTTTGAATTTCTGAAGGAAATTTTATTTTCTAAAATTTAGTCAGTTGATATTTTATTAAGCAGGGAAGATACCCAAAATTTTTGTTTTTTTTAATTAAATCCCTTGCGGAACCTTAGGGCAAGAAAAATTAAAAAAACCAAAGATTTTAATTTTTATTAATTCGGCGATTTATCAAAATAAATTTTATATATTTTTTTAACCCGAAATTTTAATTTTCCCAATTAAAATCCATCCTTTTCGGAACCTCAAAGCATTCAAAATTTCCAAATTAAAATAAATTTTCTTAAAAAAATTTAGTTATGGAACTCTGCCACATTAATTACATCAACAACCCTTTCATTACCAACAACTAGCGGCGACGATTCGTCAGAACTTGAAAAAATTGCTGCCACAGATTCAAATTCTATTATTGACGGTCGCTATCAATTTAAAAGAAAACATGGCTGTAGATACAATGCACCAACCCCTCGTAATTTACTCAATGAGCGTCAACAACATTTGTCTATGCTTAATGACGAGCTTAGCACTTTTCGCTGTTTTTCAGCGAGGTTTTTTTTATTTTTATTTTGTGGCCCTTCCTATTTTTGTTATCATGGGGGTGGACTATGCGTGGTGTAACCTCACTAGTCTTCTGAAGGGTTCGACCGCTGTCCCCTGTGAAAGGAATCGGGAAGCTCACGCGAAACTCGCATGGCCAACCCGAATTCCCCACAACAACCGTTCCCAGCATAACGGTTGTTGTGGCCTGTAGGATCACACTCTAGTCTTCTTTAATGCCGTGTCTACATAAAAAGCGTCTTGCGACTAAAAATAGCATTTAAAAGAAGGAAAGACAAAATCGCGTCTCTTCATTCCCAATGCTATTTTTGCCGCAAAACGCAAGTTTATGTAGACACGGCATGAGGAGAGGTTAAAAATTTTTTTACCTTTTACCCACATCAAGAATCCCTTAAAAATTTTAATATCCTTCTTTTTTAAGGTTTACTCAGGAAGTCTGCAATGAACCAGTTAATGAAGCCCCCACACAAAGGTTGAGGGGATTTGTTGGCAGGCGTATAGGCCGAGGAGGCCGCCAAATAATTGATCTCTTTTATTTACCTTCAAATTCTTCTACTCCTCCTCCTCTTCTTCCTCCTCCCACAAATAGCAGAAATACTGAACGGATCTCTTCCGCGAAGAATGTATAAAAAATATTTTTGACACACTGTCTTTCTCCTCCCTTTTTTATCAGTCTCGCTTTCAAAAAAATTCTTTTTTTTTGGGCGTTAACATTTCATTTGACTCTCTATTTTTTGGGGTTGATTACCTATATTAGGAAAAAGTGCTTGGAAAATATTTTTTAAAGGTCCTTCCATAGTTGACCTCTCTAGGTCCTCGAAAAAAAATTTTAATTTTTGGGAAATTTTAAAAACATTCAAGGTCACGGACGTTGACTAAAATTATTTTCTTTATTAATTTTGTTTTGTCTACAACAGGTTACTTTAAAATGTCTAGTTCCAAGCACTTAATTTTAGGAGGTATGTGGTTAAACTTTTTGAAAAATTTTTTATATCTCCACAGCAGGGATGGCCAGGAAATACATTTAAAATTGTTTTTTGTAATAAAAAAAGGGACATCCAAAGCCATCCCTACATAAGCTTCCAAAAAGTTAGGTAATTTAGGCCCATGACAAGTGGAGGATCTTAGGAAAAATTTTTTTCGATTTTTTCTGATTTTTCTTTGGTTATGTGTGTCTAATTCCCACATATCTCCTTCTATCAACCCCTTGTTGTTATTGTTAAACTTTCAATAAAAAAAATATATTTTATTAAAAAAAATTCCTTCCCCTTCCACTGCTGTTTGGCATTGTATTTTTGTGTGTGTAATTCTACCCACCTGTTTTTTACACATCCAAAAAATATATATATTCTTCCAAAATTTTTTTTTCTAATTCGGATGTTACGAGTGTTAAACCATATATAAATTCAGGATTTTATTGTTTTCTCTCTCCATTTTCTGTTTTTTTTTTAAATTTTTTTTCGTCTTTTTCTCAATAAATGATTATATTTAAAAATGAGTTTTTTTTTTGAGATCTTCCTTTTTAAAATAATAATTTTTTCTTAAAGTAATATTAATCAGCGTAGCAATAATCCGCCTTATTGTGCTAAATTTGGAAGGATTTTATTTAAATTTAAGTTTATTTTAATTTATGGGTGTTTTCTGGTAGTGAGCTAAAAATTAGAACATTTTCCGGAAAATACAATGTTTTCATAATATTAAAATAGCAATTCCGGAAATGATTTTTACTAATAAATACATCTCCCAATAAATGTATTTTCCGGAAAAACATTTTCCTAAAGGTTGCGTTTTTAAAGGAAAAGACTCCGTAAATATTTATTTTTTCCGGAAAAAGTATGAGATAAATGGTGTTTTCCGGAAAAGTAAAATACTACCGGAAATTCTTTCCGGAAAAATAAAACATTACTAGAAAATTTTTCCGGAAACCATTAACATTACCATTCTTTCCGGAAAAGTAAAATACTACCGGAGTCTTTCCGGAAAAATATAACATTACTAGAAAGTTCCGGTTTTTCCCGAAACCCTTAAGATACTCATAGGAGTAAGTTTATTTATACTCATAGGAGTATTTAATTTTATTTAATTAAATTAAATTCTTTCCGGAAAAATAAAACATTAACCGGAGTTTATTTATACTCATAGGGGTATTTAATTAATTTTATTTAATTAAAAAAAATTTAAAAAATATACCATAATTAGTCTGTTGTCGACAAAGTAGAAGCTAAATAAATTCAAAAAATTTATTCAATAATTATTTATATAAAAATAAACCTGTCAGATTTTGTTTCAAAAGGATTATTAAGCATTTCCTCGACTTTAAAAAATAAATTAAAAAATTTTCCAAAAAAACTCACTCAAAGAATCGCTTAATCTCGGCATGTGGTAAATATGCTCACATGAATTGCGTGAATTTGGAATGATAAAACCAAAATCGAAATCAAAGCTTTTTAGTAGTCGATCACGAAAATAGTGGCGTTCAATCATTCTTTTTTTAATTATTTTTTAAAAAATTATTTTTTAAAAATAAACCTAAAATTGCTGACAGGTTTATCGCCTACCACAAATTCCATAGTTGCTCCAATATGACTAGAAAAAAATTTTTTTAACCAAATGATTTTTTGGAAGAATAGAAAATATAAAAAGATTTTTTCCTGGAATTTTGTGTGTTTTTGTTTAAGGTTGCCGGTCCTGGACCGAACTGAAGAACCGATGATTTTTCGGTTCTGTTCCGGATATCCGAAGGTTTTCAAAGAAACAACAACCAATTTTTGTGGACTAAAAAATTTTTGGGATTTTTTAAAGAATTTTTTTGGAGAAAAAATCCGCAAAATTTTTTAAATTTTTTCACATTATTAAAAAATTTTTTACATAAAAAAATTAAAATTCTTACCGAAGTCGTAAAAACGACGGCTTAAAATAATAACGAATAAAACGGGGAGTAAACGTCTTTTCATCATCATGGTTGTCTGTCGCATCTTCCTCCCCTCCATTAGAATTTTCTGTTGCTTGTTCTTGTGAATTTGTATCGTCTTCTGTGGCCGAATCGTTTTCTATAAAAAATTAAATTTAATGAAAAAAATTTAAAAAAATTTAAAAAACCGTCAGGCTTGTTTATCTCAAAAAGAACAGTTTCAGAATCAATATCACGCACTTTGAAGCGTACAAATTCAATATCTAAAAAATATAAAATAATCAGAATAACTGGAAACGATAAAATAAAAACCATAAATATTGTCTTCTGGGCGGCATAGAAACCCTTAAAATTAAACTAGAATTTTAAATATAGAAAATTAAAAAATCATAAATTTTGGAAAGATCAGAATTTTGCAACCAAAAGACACATTATAAATTTTGATTTAAAAATCAGAACAAAAATTCTGATCTCGTAAATCTTATTTTTGGTGGTTTTTACGAGAGTAGGGCACACCACAAAATAAAACCGGTATTTGACCAAAACTCAAAACCGAAAATCAGGGATTTTAAAATTTGATTATTCGAAAACTAGGGATACCAGTTAATAACCGTTTATGCCCTACCCGAGTTTTACGATTTAAATTTGTCGGAAAAAATTCTGATTTTAGCCAAACCACGAAAAACACCCAAAATTCTAATTTTCAAAATTAAAAACAAAAAAATACCTTCAGTAACACAATTTAATCGTAAAACATCTTCAGGTGTAACAAATTCTTTTTCATGTAATTCTGCTTCAGAAATTGGTCCTCTTATTATTTCTTGGTTTCCATTTAAATTGGGCATTTTCTGAAAAAAAAATTTTTTTAAATTTAAATTAATTTAAAAAAAAATTTTTTTGGAATTTTTTTAAACCAAAAATTTTTTAAAAAACAAAAATTAGTTACAAAAATAAAATTTAATAAAAGCAAAAACTATATTTTCAAAGTTGTCAAGGCAACATGAGAAAATTAAACAAAATTAAAAACCCCCTCTTTATTCTTCTCCCACACCCCACCAAACTTTTATTAAATGTGAAAATAAATAAAAATAAAAAAATAAATATTCTCTCTTCTGTTTGAAAACAGCAATTTGAAAAATAAATAAAATAAATAGAATATTTAATTATTTAAATTATATACTGAATGAAGACAGATTTTTTTTGAATTTTTGAAAAAAAATTTTGTTCGATTTTTTTACAATCCGAAAAACTTTTCTTGAAAAATTTTTCTTTAAAAAATTTTTTTTAAAAAAATTTCTAAAAATTAAAAAAAAATTTGTTGAATTTTTGAAAAAAAAATATTTTTTGTATTTTTTTTATTTTTCAAAAATTTAAAAAAAATAAAAAAAATCCAAAAAAAAAATCAAAAAAAAATTTTTCAAAAAAATTTCATAAAGCACCCAATCCAACAAAAATAAATTTAAGACATCCAATTCTTATTAATGCTCCACTCCACAAAGTTGAAGAATTTTTATATGAAGGAATTAAATATTGAGATTCATTTAAAGATTCTTCCAATTTTATTTTTTGGTTTAAACACGAACAAATATTTTTATCACAATTTTTAAACAGTTCGTTGTAAGGAGTTAAAGCCACCATTTCAAACGCTAATTTACACTAAAAAAATATTAAAACTTGGATTTAATTAAACATGTTTGTTCAGATTTAATTCTGGTTTATTTATCCTTGTGTTTTTCTGTTTGGGGTTCTTTCTTGTTTGAACAAAAGTATTTAATAAAAATCAGAACAGAGAGAAAACATGAAAATTAAAATTAAAAAAATCAAAATCAGAATTAAATTTGAACACTATATCAAAAATAAAAATCAGAAAAAACAAACAACAAAACAGAAATCAGAATATTGAAACAAAAAATAGACAAATCAGAATTAAATTGGAACATTACAAGCAATCAGAATTAAATTAGAACACTTAATAAAAATCAGAACAAAAACACAACAAATACAATATTAATAAAACAAAATCAGAATATTAAATAAAAAACATAAACATAGAGGGATAAACAAATCAGAATTAAATTAAAACACTATATGAAAAATAAATATCAGAATATTAAATAAAAACAAACAACACAAACAGAAAAACAAAGAAAAACAATAAAATCAGAATTAAATTTCAACATTAAAAAAATCAGAATTAAATTCAAACACTAAATAAAATAAAAATCAGAACAAAAACACAACAATTAAAAAATACAAGCAGAAAAACAAACAAAACAAGAAAATCATAATTAAATCTGAACATTACATAAAATCAGAATAATGTTAGAGTAAAACAAATCAGAATTAAATCTGAACATTACATAAAATCAGAATAATGTTAGAGTAAAACAAATCAGAATTAAATCTGAACATTACATAAAATCAGAATAATGTTAGAGTAAAACAAATCAGAATTAAATCTGAACATTACATAAAATCAGAATAATGTTAGAGTAAAACAAATCAGAATTAAATCTGAACATTACATAAAATCAGAATAATGTTAGAGTAAAACAAATCAGAATTAAATCTGAACATTACATAAAATCAGAATAATGTTAGAGTAAAACAAATCATAATTAAATCTGAACATTACATAAAATCAGAATAATGTTAGAGTAAAACAAATCATAATTAAATCTGAACATTACATAAAATCAGAATAATGTTAGAGTAAAACAAATCAGAATTAAATCTGAACATTACATAAAATCAGAATAATGTTAGAGTAAAACAAATCATAATTAAATCTGAACATTACATAAAATCAGAATAATGTTAGAGTAAAACAAATCATAATTAAATCTGAACATTACATAAAATCAGAATAATGTTAGAGTAAAACAAATCAGAATTAAATCTGAACATTACATAAAATCAGAATAATGTTAGAGTAAAACAAATCAGAATTAAATCTGAACATTACATAAAATCAGAATAATGTTAGAGTAAAACAAATCATAATTAAATCTGAACATTACATAAAATCAGAATAATGTTAGAGTAAAACAAATCAGAATTAAATCTGAACATTACATAAAATCAGAATAATGTTAGAGTAAAACAAATCAGAATTAAATCTGAACATTACATAAAATCAGAATAATGTTAGAGTAAAACAAATCAGAATTAAATCTGAACATTACATAAAATCAGAATAATGTTAGAGTAAAACAAATCAGAATTAAATCTGAACATTACATAAAATCAGAATAATGTTAGAGTAAAACAAATCAGAATTAAATCTGAACATTACATAAAATCAGAATAATGTTAGAGTAAAACAAATCAGAATTAAATCTGAACATTACATAAAATCAGAATAATGTTAGAGTAAAACAAATCAGAATTAAATCTGAACATTAAAAAAATCAGAATTAAATTCAAACACCAAATAAAAAAATCAGAACAAAAACACAACAATTAAAAACATACAAACATAAAAACAAACAAAACTTAAAATCAGAATTAAATCTGAACATTACTTAAAATCAGAATAATATTAGTAAAACAAATAAAACACAGCTAAAAACAAATATTCTGATTTTATTCAAGTTTATTTGAACAACCTTGTCAAAGAAAATTAAAACACGTTGCCTTTGTACTTGTCCACATGAAGAAAAACGGCTTAAAAATAAAAAAGAAATTATTTAAAAAAAATTAAAAAAAACCTCAAATCAATACAATTATTTTTTAATGTTAATCCACTTCCAATTGTAACAAATTTTGATTGAATTGGAATTAAATAATTTTTTAAACAATTTTCTTCAATTAAATCTGCCCCAGAAAGTAATTGTAAAGCAGCATAAACAGGCAATTTATTATTTAATAAATCTTTTGTGTTTAAATTAATTATTTTATTTTTTTAATTTAAATAATTTTTAAAAATCATTTATTTAATTCTCAAAGCTAATTAACTAATTTTGGCTCCGTAGAGGAAAAAAACAAAAATTGAAAAAGAAAAGTGACCAAAGTCTACACTATAAGACCAGAAAGATGCAAAATTAATTTTTCTTTTTTTATTATTTTTTATTTCTAAAGGTTCAGGAGGAGCCTACTGGAGACTCCGAGAGACTCTTAGATATTTAAAAAAATTAAGAGCTCGTACAGACTCCAAGGGACTCTTAAATATTCAAAAAATTCAATTTTCAAATATTTTTTAATAAAAAAAATTCATAAAAACCTGGATGAAAAATGGGAACGACATTATCATTGTATAGTTTACATGGAGAAATAGGCTCTGACTTGACTAAACTGAAATAAAATTAAAATTCAAAAAAAAAATCAAAAAATTCCAAACCTAATGGCTTTCCCATTATTCCTCATTACAATCAATATATTAGCTGCTTCAGCATCTTTCAATTCATTTTCAAACATATCCCGAGTATTTTGAGAATTTTTATAAGCTTCCTTTACTTTTTTATTCACTTCAAACGTTGTTTTTCCAAATTTCAAATTTTTTCCAATTCTTTTGACAATTTTTTCAGGTTCTTCCAAACAAATATTTGAATCATCCTCAGTCACTTTTTGGTCTTTTTCGTCTTTTAATTTTGTACAAAAATCGTAAAAAACAGCCAAGGGCTCTGGTTTATCCAATTTATTGTGTTCTTTCCATAAAGCTATTCGGTCGGTAACCCTTAAAGAGTTGACAAGATGGGAATCCTAAAAAAAATATTTTTTGATGATTTAAATGACAAAAAAAATTTTTTAGAAAACCAAAAATTGTTACTAAAATATATTTTTAAAAATAAAAACAATTTAAGAGGAGGGATGGATCGGGATATCGAAACCCGATACCTAGAAAAACCCAAACCGGCTTTATTTCTGTCCTGACCCGGCCCGTAGCCAGGGGGGGATTAGAGGGGGAACCCCCCCCCCCCCCCCCCCCGAAATGGGAAAAAGGAAAAAATTTTCCCCCCTTGGCCCCCCCCCCGAAATGGGAAAAAGGAAAAAATTTTCCCCCCTTGGCCCCCCCCCGAAATGGGAAAAAGGAAAAAATTTTCCCCCCTTGGCCCCCCCCCCCCGAAATGGGAAAAAGGAAAAAATTTTCCCCCCTTGGCCCCCCCCCCCCCGAAAAAAAAATAATGGCTACGTGCCTGCTCATGACCCAGACTTGTTTCAAGTCAAAAAAAGCCAAACTGGATTCACATCCACAAACTCGTCATCGAAAACTAAACTAAAAACCAGAATGACAACACATAAAAGGTTAACAATTAAAAGACTAAATTTAATAAAAAAAATACCTACAACAAATTTCTCAACATGTAAAGGACACATAAACCGTTCATTCGAGCAGGCAGTTAATGGAGGTGTCAAACAATCAAAGCAAAACTTGGCATGGCAATAATCGCAAGAAATAACATGTTTTTCTTCTAACCTAAAAAATTATACAACTTGAAGAAAATTTTGACCGCAAAAAATTTGCGGACAAAAAATCTGTCCGCAAAAAATTTGCGGACAGATTTTTTTCAACTAAATTTAAAAGAAAACCTTCGACAATAAAAACACGATTTTTTGGCCAAATTTTGATCATTCTTTAAATTAAATAGTTCATCAAAAGGTAGTTTATAATAACAATCATCCACTCCAAGACTTCCCAACGAAAATTCTCTGGAATTTAAAGCACGCATGGCCTTTGCAAGATCCCTCAACGTTTTGTTTTTGTAACGATTTTTGATCAAAAAGCGAATAAAAATTTTGTTGTGGAAATCTTCTCGTTGTTGTGGATCCTATAAAAATGAAAAAATTTTGATGAAAAAATCAATAGAGAGAGCTAGGTAGAAGTTCAGCCACGGGCAGGCATCAACCACGTACAGGTTCTCTATCGACTGACATGAGCTACCGGAGGGACTACTTCCAACTTCTTCATTTTCAATAGATCTTAAACCCCTTTTAGCAGCAACGCGCATGCATCAACCGAGTACAGGTTCTCAACCGACTGGGCTACCGGAGGGACTACTCCCACCTTCTTTTTCAATAGATCTTAAGCCCCCTTTAGCAGCAACGGGCATGCATCAACCCAGGTACTCTATCAACTGATTGTGAGTAAGCTCCCGGAAGGACTGCTCTCACCTCCTTTTTTTCAATAGATTTTAAGCCACCGTCTAGTAAGCGCCTTATATACTAGATAGCTGGATCTATCTTCTTACTTAAGATAAATTACCTTAACCCGCAAATTTTTTGAAGCTTTTCCTTCGAGAAGACGCCAAACAGAGTAAAGAGTCTTACATTAATAAAAAATTAAAATACAAACCTGACTGTTTAAATGTGCAATATATTCAAATTTTTGAGAAATTTCCATTTGACATCTATTACAAATCCAATTGCGAGTATCCACCCTTTTATTATTCACCATCAAAGGAGGAAAGTGGCAAACAAAATGGAATGAAGATTTGCAGCGAGTACAAGTATATAATTTGCCTCCAACAAGTTCCTAAAAAGAATTTTTTGTATTGTGACTTATAGTTGATCTTATATTTTTTATTCGACTTAACCTAAAAATCAGCTTGGCCCCCCCATGATATTTAACCTTTTCGGGACCTATAACTCGGAAAATGATTGCAGGACCTACTTCTCCCCACTAGTTTGACTCAGTTTCCAAAGACTCATCCGAATGACATCCCAGGCCCGTAGCCTCCTTGGCCCCCCACCCGAAAAAAATCCTGGCTACGGGCCTGTGACATCTCATTCATTGAAATCGGACCAGAAAGGAAACTAAAAACAAGAAAAAGAACCCTAGAAGTCATACCATTAAAATTTTAAGAAAATTAAAAAAAAATACCAAACAAGAGCAACAATAATTTCCATCTGGACTGGACCTCCCAGAAGAATTTGTGGAACGTTTTTGTTGTGGACTTTGAAACGTTTTTTCTATATCTAGAGACAATCCTGCATCTTTATCGTAAACAATGCTTACATTACGATGTTTAGATTCGTAGACAAAAGACATTTTAAGTAGAGTTTTGATTAAATCTGAAAAGAAAATTGAAAAAATTCAAGAAAAAATCAAAAATTCACGAAGGACTTAAAATTAGAAATCGGCATGGGACCGGAACCCGTACGGGATTTTACGAGATCCTGTCCCAAACTCCCTTATTTTAAGCAACTAAAGGGATTATCGGAGTTTACGGGATTAATCCCGCAGGATCTTGTCCCGTAAAAATTTTGAAAAAAAAAACCCGTTACGGACCTTGGAAATGCGTTTTGCCGACCTCTACTTAAAATAATCAAGCAAGTTTTATTCAAGACTCTAGTATACTCTAAACAAAAACTTTTCTCTAACTCTCTCATATTCTCTCTTTTCCCCTTATCTTTTTCACATAACCATTTAACTACAGCAGTTTCAGTGCCAATTTATTGAGTGTAGTGTATTTGCGAACTAATAAACGCTCTCAAACGTCCACTGCTTTTTGTTTAATTTAAAAGCGTTTTTTCAATTTTTTCAATCTTTCTAAAAAATTTTTGTGTAATTTTTTGTAATTTATTTTTCATATTTTTCTTTTTTTAGGCCTTATAAACGGTTACTAACTTTATTATCAACAAATTCTACACGGCAGACTTAGCCTAACTTAAGAAAAATTTCAACAACAGTCTACAAAACAACAAATATTGCAACAACAATAATTCACAAATTTTGAAGAATGCTTTCCATAAAACTACTTTTAATACAAGGCAAGATTAAAAACAACAAAAATATGCGAGTTGGATGTGTTGGAAATAGAGATCGGAATTTTGAAAAAACCGGGACCGGGAACGGGTTCTGAAGGTCGACCGGGAGGGACCCGGACCGGGAAAACCGGGAATTCCCGTTCCCGGTTTCATCCCGGCGTCTTCAAAAAAGCCGGGAAACGGGGAAACAGCCGGGAAACAGGACCGGGTCCCGATCCTTTCCGATCTCTAGTTGGAAATTTTAAATGGGGAGGAACGAGAGGTGGGCGTATTTATTTAATTTAAAAAATGTCCGCAAAAACAACAAATTTTGCAGACTTTCTTAGAAGTTCTGGTCTTTTCCGTTATGCCACACCCCCCCCCCCTAAGCTCGTCAAGCTCTCCGAATGAGCTCTTAAATGCCTATTTGAATTTTTACTCAAAAATGAATTTACTCCCCCCTATGGTTTTTGATCATTTCGAGCCCTATATGTTGGTCCACAGGCATCTGCGGGGAAAAAGAGTGCTACTTTTCGACTCATCACCTTTTTTACCCCATATATGGCATTTTGAACATTAATTTAGGGGGTGTGGTATAACGGAAAGTACACAAGTGCTGGTTTTTTCATTTTAAAATTTATTTTAATATTTCTCTCTTCCGTCTCATTTTTTCTCATAAGAACGCTATTACCTTTAAAATATAGGTTTTTGAAAGAATGATTAATCAAAGCCTTTAAACCCTTTTATTATTTTTTTCTCCTACCACCTTCACCACCTATCAACTCACAAACCTTTATTTTAATACTAACCTTTCTTACTCATTTTTTTCGGGAATTTTTTGTGTTTGCAAATAGAAACGAAGGCTTTATATCATTCTTTAGGGGAGATTTTTTGGACAAAAAATTTTTATTTTTTTCTAAACTTTCTGGTACTTTTCCGTTAATCGACCGCAAATCGAGCACCAGCCGACTTTTGAACGGCTTTAACTTTTTGATGCGTGATCCAATACAAGTAAATTTATATCATTCGGAAGCCCTCGATAAGCTCTATCTTTTACCTAAATGTATGGATCAGGTCTGATCAATCATAAAAAAGTTACAAGTCGATAAGTGCAAGAGATCGTTGATTTCACAGTTATCGGGGTATAACTTTTTTATGAGTGATCAGAGCTGATCCATACAGTCGGGTAAAAGATAGAGCTTATCGAGAGCTTTCGAATGATATAAAATTCATTCGTATTGGATCAAGAATAAAAAAGTTATAGCTGTTCAAAGTTGGCTGGTACTCAGTTTGCGGTCGATTAACGGAAAAGTACCAAAAAATTTTTTTATTTTTTTAAACTTTCTTTACCTTTTTTCTTGTTTACCTCAATAATTTATTTTTTTAAATATAACCTTTTGTCCTCAAAGTGCCAATTTCTTTTTTTTTCACACTTTTTTGACTTAAATTTTGGGTAAGTCAATTTAGTTGCCCTTAGCGAGAAAATATTTTTAAAAAAGTTTTTAAAGTGTTTAACTTGTAACCTTTTTATTTTTATGAATAGACACATTTTGGGGGTATTGACAAAGAAAAAGGTGTGAAAATGAGTAAACTTAAAAGGTAATTTTTTTCGTCTGAATTTTTGAAAATTTTCAAAAAATATTTTTTGGAAATTAAAAAAAATTTTCAGAATTTTTATTTTTTTAATTTTTCGGAAATTTTGATTTTTTTAAAAATTTTTTAAATTTTTTTTTTATTTTTTGGAAATTTCGGAAATTTTTTCTGAAATTTTCAACCCCCCCTTACATTAATTTCATAACCTTTTAAATTATTCCTCATTCACCTCAACTTATTTTTTTCTGGATGAATAATTGAAATAAATATACCTCAAATTGTTTTACTGCACGCAAACCTAGTTGCAAACACGAAAATGCGTTAATGATATGGTAATAAACGGAAGTTGTAAATTAATATAGGGGGAATATTTACTTGTATTTTCTTTGTTTTGTTAAATAAATATCAGAATAAAACTTGAACATAAACATACTCTAGATTTTTTTGTTTATACGGAAGCCAGAATTTTATTTGAACAAACCAGAATTTTATTCGAACATACTATCTTTCTTATGTGAAACCAGAATTTTATTTAAACAGTCAGAATTTTATTTGAACATACGAAAAACTTTTTACGAAAAACCAGAATTTCATTTGAACATACTACATAGCTTTTTTTCGATAAACCAGAATTTTATCTAAACTAAACCAGAATTTTATTTGAACATTCAAATAAGTCTACAAAAATATTAAACCAGAATTTCATAAAAACATTGCAGAAAAATACAGAACAACACCAATTAATTTTTGTTCATGTTTTAATTTTATTCTGATTTTTTTTGGTATTTTTCTATTTTAAACTTGTTTTTAAATCCCTCAATAATTAATGCCCATTATTACCCCGCTCAATTAAAAATACTTTTATTTATATAATTTAAATTTATATATAACAACCTAATCCTCACATTTATTTCTAAACTCTTCTCGGCATTTTCTCTTATTTTTTTTACTTAGGCATTAATAACTCAACTAAAATAACTTGTCAATCCCATAGCCCAAGAGTGCATTTAGCCGCGCAATTTAGTCTCTCCCTCTCTCTCAGGTGGCTTTACTTAACCGTTTCCGTAAGCTTTACTTTTCTCGATTAATTTTATTGAATAATGAAACCCTTTAAATAATTTTTTGAGGCATGTACTGGACATATTTTTTTACTTAATTTGTGTTTATTAAGGTTGAGTAGACTACTTAACACAAACAATTTTAATTCCTCTGTAAAATTAAATCAGAACAACAACTTATTTTTTCTGAGTCAACCGGAAACGTTTATTAATTATTTTCTATTTCCGGAATTCAACCGAAAATTTTTTTATTATTTTTATTTCTTCCGGAATTCAACCGGAATTTTTTTTTATTATTTTTATTTTATTTCCGGACTCCAACCGGAAATCTTTCTATTTTTATTTCTTTCGTAATTCAGCCGGAAAGAGTTTTATTATTTCTATATTTCCGGAATACAACCGGAAAAACTAATTTATATTTATTTTATTTCCGGAATCCAACCGGAAAGCTTTATATTCTTATTTTATTTTCGGACTCCAACCGGACAGATTTTTATTTTTATTCTTTCCGGAATTCAACCGGAACGCTTTTTATTTTTATTTATATTTCCGGAATCATTTTTCTGATTTTTAGAATCAGCCTGAACATTTAATGCATCCTGAATAACCGGAAAACTAATTTATTTTCACTGTACCCCTTTCTACTCAGATTTTATTTTTAATTTGTACCCCACTAATTTTTAAAAAAATCTCACCTTTTTTCTTTACTCCATAAAAATGTCAAATCCTCCTCCTCTTAACATTTTTTTATCCACACATTACCTTAAAATTATTCTAATATATTTATATTTATTTATCCAACTCCTCTTAGCACATTCATTTTTCATTTAATTTCCCTAATGTGTGTAAATTAATCTTTTTTTTTCTCAACAAATATTTTTCTTTACTTTTTTTTACTCCTCTAGGTTGACATAAAAATGCAACATCAAAGAAATGTTAATTTTTTTCTATTATTTACAGATATAAATTTTTAATTTTTTTGGCTATAGGATCTTTATTTCCCTCCAAAATATCCATTCCAAAATTTTTTTTAAATTCTTTGTTGATCATTATTTTTATTTTTGGCCGTTGGTCAATCAATCACTTGGTGTGTTTAATTAAAACAGTTTACTCATTCTTGACTTTTCTATTATTTAATAGAGTTTAAAGAACACTAAATATATTTCTGAACAAAGTTACTTTAAATAGTTAAAAATCAGAATTTTATATGAACATCTCAATCAGAATTTCATACAAACATTTACTTATTATAGTAAAGACTATTTAAGATCAGAACTACCTAAACATTCAATTTAAAAAATCAGAATTTCATATGAACATTTAATTAAGACTATTTAAAAGATCAGAATTTTATTTAAACACTTAATTTTAAGATCAGAATTTACGGCAAAAATAAAAACCAGAATTTTATATAAACATCTAATCAAAATTAAAATTAATATTTAAAAATCAGAATTTTATCTAAACATTTAATTTAAAAAATCAGAATTTTATTTAAACATTTAATAAGTCTATTTAAAATCAGAATTTTATTGAAACATCTAATTAAAAAAATCAGAATTTAAAATAAAAACCAGAATAATCTCAAAACATGTTATAACAAATATAACTGAAACATTTAATTTCATTCTGATTTAAAGAAAAATATTTCCAACTTTTCCGGAAACG